AAACTCCCTAACCTAACCTAACTCCCTAACCTAACCTAACTCCCTAACCCCCTGAGCGAAAGCAGCTCACGAACCTTCCCTCCCCTAATAAGATGCGGAGATTTCGTATGCATAGTTATGAAAAGTCACGAAAAAGAGAAATAACAATTAACAATTACTTATCTGCGTCTGCTTTGCTCAGTTAAAGGTTCGTGATTCCAGTTGAAGAATTGTTTTATTCTGTNTTATCCACTTTGTTTACTACGTTATGATATTTCATAGTCAACAAAACAATCAGCACACAATATCACTTGGAATACGACAAAGAACCATTTGTTTGATCCATAGCCAGAAAATATTCGGATAATTCCACGTTGATTGTTGATAACCACAAACAAAAAGCGAGTGATGAAATGTAAACAATATGCGCAGTGTGCATTTTTTTGGGGAATGATTTTGCACTTTTCAAAAATTATGTCCGAAAAAAATGAGTCGATGATGAAATGCGATTGCTGAACACAAAAGGGAAAATTTAGAAAAAAACTTTTTTTTAGAAAACTCATTTCGAATTTCCAATTGTCAACAAACATTTATTCGAGTCACAATTAGACTTATTTGTAACAAAATAATTTCATCGTCTTTATTTTTTGGGGAATGATTTTTCATTTTTTAGAAAACTTTACTCAAAACAAATTGAAACTGAATCGATGATGAAATGATCGACATCAAAAGGAAAATTCACAAAAACTTTTTTTGGGAAAACTTATCAATAAACTTCTAATTAATAAACATTCATTGATTCGTATCACAATTAATTAGTCCAATTCGCAACAGAATAATCACACAAAAAAGAATTCTATATTCAACAAAAACAACAAGTTTCATTTCATCATCACTCTGACAACGTGCTCACACAACAAAGTCAAGTTCACAATTTCCTTTTCAACATGCGCTTTTCAATTGAAAGGCAAGCAAGTTGCTTGAGCTTTTTGACGTTGTTCATAAACGACAGGATGATCAAAACAAAGAATTTTCGAAAATTATTAAGCATTCATTCATTTATTCGTATTCATTTGCTGTTTGAAATTGAAATTAAAAAAATTAATCAATTTACATTGCACACAATGTCAAGTCAATGGAAAACCTNGGAAAACTTATCAAAAAACTTCTAATTAATAAACATTCATTGATTCGTATCACAATTAATTAGTCCAATTCGCAACAGAATAATCACACAAAAAAGAATTCTATATTCAACAAAAACAACAAGTTTCATTTCATCATCACTCTGACAACGTGCTCACACAACAAAGTCAAGTTCACAATTTCCTTTTCAACATGCGCTTTTCAATTGAAAGGCAAGCAAGTTGCTTGAGCTTTTTGACGTTGTTCATAAACGACAGGATGATCAAAACAAAGAATTTTCGAAAATTATTAAGCATTCATTCATTTATTCGTATTCATTTGCTGTTTGAAATTAAAAGTAACAAAATTAATTAATTTACATTACACACAATGTCAAGTCAATGGAAAACCTCACTATTAAATCATCAGAAGCATTATTCTCAAATGAATTGATATAAAAATGTCGATTGTGCTGCCATCCTTTGATAGATCTTTCACCCATTGGAAATGCAACAAGTTCCATAAACTTCCGTAAACTGAACATTATTTCTCGTTGGAAATACACCATATCCCATTGTAAATACATCATGTCCCATAGACTTTACATTGTGAATCAATGAAGAATTCTGAAAGTTCGTTCCTGTTCTCCTATTACAATTAATTTATCTATAACACACGCATCTTCCTTTGGAAATACAAAGCCAACTGTACGGACTGAATGACCAGTGATCAATTCATTGATCAGAATTGCTGTCATTATGGAGCATTTGAATTAGTAAATAACCATTGTTAGATTGATAGGTCGAAGGCCATAATAATTTGTTTAGTTAGATTTGTTTGGAATGTTCTCATTGCAATACAAACAAACACTGTTTTCATCGACTATTCACAACATCAACATCAAATATGATGTTTAAACATTTCATTTCGTTTGTTGGCTTTCTTCGCCAAATATTACACCACACTTGGAAGTAGCTTTTCCATTTTAAGCAAACAAATTTCTCGTTGTTCTTTCTCTTCTCTCTCGTCTCCCGCTTTCCTTCTTCAAAGTTCTCTTTTTGTTCAATGAACGCCTACACTTTTTTCCGAATTTGTCTTAAAAATAAAACCCAATGTCTAAGCATCAGTGGAAAGTCGAAATGATTCGTTCATTCATTCATTCATTCGGCATCGTTGAAAGCACAAAATCGTTGAAATCATTTTCCTCATCAAACCAAGAATTTGTTTTTTGTTTTGCTAAAAATACCAAAAAGTTCATCAAAAGTTCTGTTTGTTTCTGCAGCCTTTGACCTTTTTGATTTGATCACTAAAAACACAATGTTAACACATGGTCTACTCAATGATGGCTCTTGGGAGCTAAGAATTTTCGTCACCGATCTTAAAATTGAAAAAAGACTTCGTGCTAAAGGTGACTGGCACATTGGTGGTTTAATATTGAAACTTGTTGAAGAACTCGGTAAGTAGTTTTTTCGAACCAAAATTCCTTTGATCCAAATTCATAGCAATTTTCAAGTTTTGCTTGCCATCTTTGGCTAATCGAATCAATGTAATAATGTAGGCAGGCAGCAGCCAACAATTTCACCACCATATTTGGCAATGTGCGCGCCTAAGCTAGCGCTTTTCATGTTTGAAAAACAGGATGATTTTTGAATCTTTATTTCTCACCTCACCCCACCCTAATTAGATGTGGCAGCTGATTGGTCTGATCATGCATTATGGTGGCCAATGAAAAATCAATGGCTAAAACGTACCCGCACAACATTGGATCAGGCCGGTATCCAAGCCGATACCTTATTGCATTTCACACCCATGCATAAAAATCTTCGTGTTCAATTGCCCGATCTTCGTTATGTTGATTCACGGGTTGATTTTTCAATACCGACATTCAACGCTGTCGTTCAACTTTGTGATGACCTGGGCATTCGTCACCCAGAAGAATTATCCTTTTCGCGACCACTGATAATGGCGCATTTGAAACAAAACTATCCCAATCTGGATATATCACCATTACAACGACAATTCGATCAGATTGGTCCCATTGCACAGAATGAAAATACATTGAATCAACAGACCAATGTTAGCACATTGACTCGTGCAATGAGTGCCCAGCCATTCGTTGATTTTGCACCATCATCCAATGCAAACGGACATACTGGTCCCATTGTTGCTACCGCTCGAAATCATCCGATTGAAAAGCCCAGTTATTTGTATCCAGTGGAAGCAGTCAAACCAACGTTGATGACAAGTCCGGTTACACCGAGTGCCGAAGGAAAAGCCACTCTGCTACGTCCAAAATCCTTGATTGAAAAAGCAAGACTCAACGCCGGTTGGTTGGATTCCAATCTTTCGATCTATGAACAAGGTGTTCGTGAATTTGATTTATTATTACTTCGTTTTAAATATTACAATTTTTATGATTTGAATCCCAAATTGGATGCTGTTCGCATCAATCAACTATACGAACAAGCAAAATGGTCATTGATCACCGAAGAATTAGATTGCACCGAAGAAGAAATGTTTCTATTCGCCGGACTTGAATTACAAATCAACATTTTGGCATTGAATCCGGATCCAAACGATCAATACTTGGAAGTGAATGATGATATTGATGCTGCATTGGATGAATTGCAATTAACATTAGAGGGATCATCCAATCCCATCCAATATTACTATCAACAATCAAACGGAGCATCATCAATCAACTATGCCGGCTATTCCGATATACCCGAGTTATCCGGATTCCTTCGATTCGCTAAACATAAATTATTCACATTGAAAAACTTCAAACGTTATTATTTCGTGCTGAAAGATACTAATCTAAAATTATACAAGAGTATCGAAGACCGTCAAGGATCACCGGCATTCATCATCAATCTGAAAGGATGTGATATAACACCCGATTTGAATGTTACCCAAAATAAATATGGCTTCAAAATACACAATTATAATGATGATGGTAACACCAATGAATATTGGTTACGCTGTGAATCGGAAAAACAATATGCTGAATGGATAACGGCTTGTCGCTTAGCAACCAAAGGTCGTACAATGGCTGATGCCTCATATCGTACCGAAGTACAAACTACCAGAGATTTCCTCAAAAAACAACAATATTCTGGATCACCAGTCATGCCCACACAATCCAATCAAATTGCAATCAACCCTGATGATTATATTGCCATGAGATTTTTACGACGACGTGATCAACATGTAAGTTGGATTTGTTGTTGTGTGAATTGCCATGCTAACATGTTCCATTGTTGACTGTACATAGGTAACCAACAGAATCTATGAATCGCATGCAAATTTCAAATCAATGCCATCCTTACAATGTAAATTAAATTATATCCGAGCATGGCAGGCATTACCCAAATTCGGGCTTTCATTTTTTGTGGTCCATTTTCTGAATACCAAACGAGAGGTAAACAATCATCATCATGCATAATGATGCTCAGTAGTAACATTGTTTATTTGTGATTCTGATCTATTTTTATTGAAGGAAATCCTTGGCATCGCTCCAAATCGTCTAGTTCGTATTGATATGCATACTGGTGATACAATTCGTACATGGCCATATGCACGCATGAAGTCGTGGAACGTTAATTGGGAAATTAAAAAATTATGCGTCGAATTCGACGATGAAATGCTCGAATTCGAATGCCTGAGTGCCGATTGTAAGGTTCCCCATGAATTTATTGGCGGCTATATCTTCTTATCGATGCGTTCGAAAGAACATAACCAGACCTTGAATGAAAACCTATTCTTCAAATTGACCAGTGGTTGGATTTGAACAGACAACATCAATATACTCCCAATTCACCTCATTCAAAAAGAAATCGATCCATTTAATCATAAGTGAAATTGTTTCAATAATAAAAGCCAATTCATTTATCCTGATTTTAATGATTTTTCAGTTTCATCACCAGATGTCGAGGTATAAAATGGAATAGCGCATGTCAGATTCGAATAACATACTTTTTTCTCATCAATCTTATTCAATGCGGATATTTTGCTTCAATGATCATTTGATGATTCATTCGAATTTTTCTGAAATTCGGGTGAAAGCTATATAGAGAATGTAGAGAATAATAATGACAAGGTAGTGGCAGTCATCATCAACATGCTGTTGAATATCGTGTATCAATCGGAAAATGAGATTCTCATTACATTACATGGGAAATGACGCCCGGTTTTTTGGGTGAATTTCATGTTAATCAAATGAGAAGAAATCATGACACGCCTTAGCCACTACCATTATTCATTGATTCAACTGTTTAAAAGTGATTATTTTCCTTCATCATAATCATAATTATAATCATCATTACAATTCAACAACAATCATAATATACTATGCTTGGTTGGCTATCTTTTTTCGACTATAACTGTCTGGAAAAACTTGAATTTAGAATAATGCACAGATGTATCATTTTGTGGCCTTGGCTTGATATATCAAACAAACAAACATATAAATTCAATAAATTAAACTTGTTGGCATCACTTTAATGTCAGTTTATAATGATGATGATGATTTACTCTCAACCACCCAAGTCATTTTTTAATTAACACTGCATGAACAAACAATCAAATAATGACAAAACTTGTTAGTTTGATTGTCTTTTGTTTATTTGAAAATCTTAGCAAAAAACAAATTGATTCGAATGATAAACACGACTTGAGTGTGGGTGAGAGCCAAAAAGAAAAGGAACCATCTGGCTGGGTGATCCACAAACGAGGAAATTCCTATTCATTTTCAATTTCCGATTTCAGACAAAAGGTTAATCAAATTTATTTTCAATTTATTCTGATGTTTGACATGTCAGATTAAAATGATGGCCAATAATAACAATACAACAAAACCGGACGGAAGCTTTTTTCCAACCCCAGAATCAACATAATAAAATTCAGCAATGACATAATTACGTTCATGTCAATGGCAATCGTGCCGACCATAAATACATCATATTCCAGGGTTTGGTTCATTCGAATAAAGCTGATTTCATTTTTTTGGTTTGTGGATACTGCATCAGCAAAAAGCAACAGTGCTAGCAACAACAACATTAGAGAGTAGTGGCACAGTAGTCACAAACAACAAAGATCCATTTATGCGGATCCGCCCGTTGAATATCCAAGTATCCGAGGATCTGCATCGTGCTAACAGCACAGTGAATGTTAAAGGTGAATCCAGTAGTGGTGGTGGTACTGAACACTGAACCAGAAAAAGCCTCCTCCTCCCCTCCTATTCGAGCGAAATATCCAAACATTTTGGCAAAAAAGTAAAAAATTCGGCATTTTCGGCTGTTTATATCATCATCTTGAGATTTGAATTGCATCAAAATTTCGAAAAAATTCATCCCTTTAAACTCTTCCGAAATTGAATTGTGTGTGGTTGTTTTTATCTTTTCACTTCGTTCGTTGATTCGATCCTTTCAAAACAAAACGAATAATGTTCCAGGTGACTTTGACTAGACCGAAAACACCTTTTTCAATTGAATAATTCAGCATCTGTTTACATTCATCATTTGTTCATTATGTTTTGAATTTAATTTTTGATAAAAAATCTGGTAAGTGTGTTATTCGATTGTCTGCATTGCTGTAAAATTGTCCACAATATCACCCAATTGATACATTGAACACACACACACACAGGCAAATTGTTATGGCAACCAACGAAAATATACCTGAATCATTTGCTACTATCATCATTGATTCATTCAATCAATCAATTTCAATACAAATTTTGTTAACCTTTTTCACTATTAGAATAAAGAAGTAAATACCATCAATTTTTGTTTTTATCGTCTGTCGCCATCATCAACGTTATGCACACAGCAAAAGAGAGAATTCAAAAATCAACGTTGTCGCCTTCATCACACACTTTGCTTCTTCGGGTGTGGTTATATATGATATGCATTGCATACAACCATCCATCCATCCAACCAACCATCCAACAACAACAACATTAACCACTAAAATATATCACATTAGAGATATCATTATTATTTGGGTAAATAATCAAAACCAATAGTATCAATATCGCGCCCTTATCCACGTCCCTTGCTTACTCTACATATCGAATGTTTTGAACACTCGATACAGTTAGCCAGCCTGATTAAAAAGACGACAGAAAAGAATGCCTTGTAAGAAATTTTCCTGAAAGAAAATTGATCCCCCGATCAAATCCAAGTTGATAATTTGATGTAAACAATTTTTCTATTTGAATCAATCAAATAATAACATTATCTTTATTGTCAGTGATATGTTTCAAGTGTATGCGATCAAATTATCACCCATAATCAATCAATATCGCCGGCGACACCTCTTTTTCATTGCTCAACATTGTGTGTGTGTGTGTCTGACATTCATCCTCATCATCTCCCAAATTAGTTTGTTGAAATAAATTGAAATAAATATTGTTTTTGTTTTTCTCTTCTGGCAATTAGGTACAAACATCATTTAAAATATTGTGTTTAACAAAAACTGTTCTCTTGTGTGTGGCAACATCCAAATCAACCAACGACAAATCCATTGGATGATTTTTTGAGACAAAAATATTATAGTGTTGTTGTGGTGAATATCCCTTCCTGCTGCAAAAATGACGACCGATATTTCCGTTCGTTATGATCCCATCACTCAGACAGAAATTACCGACGAATATGATGGCGGTAACAGTTCATCCAGACTGTTTGAACGTGCTCGTATCAAAGCTTTGGCAGGTAATTTATCTAAATGTACAAAAAGTTATTTTTTCAAATGATATTTTCAAAACAGAGGAACGTGAATTGGTACAGAAAAAAACATTCACCAAATGGGTCAATTCACATCTAGCACGTGCCAACATCAGAATCAACGACCTTTACACGGATCTAAGAGATGGAAAGAATCTCATCAAATTATTGGAAATATTATCCGGCGAACGTTTGCCGCGGCCAACCAAAGGCAAAATGCGTATCCATTGCTTGGAAAATGTTGATAAAGCATTACAGTTCTTGTTGAAAGAACAACGTGTTCATTTTGAGAATCTCGGCTCTCACGATATTGTTGACGGTAATCCTCGATTAACATTGGGTCTGATTTGGACCATAATATTACGATTTCAAATTCAAGATATCACTATTGAGGAAATTGATAATCAAGAAACTAAATCAGCTAAAGATGCTCTGCTGTTATGGTGTCAAATGAAAACGGCCGGCTACCACAGTGTTAATGTTCGCAATTTCACCACATCCTGGAAAGATGGTCTTGCATTCAATGCCCTCATTCACAAACATCGTCCTGATTTGATCAATTATGAAAAACTATCCAAAGCCAATCCGGTTCAAAATCTCAACAATGCATTCAATGTGGCCGAAGATAAACTTGGTCTAGTTAAATTATTGGACGCAGAGGATGTTTACACGGATAATCCGGATGAAAAATCCATCATTACCTATGTGGTGACTTATTACCATTATTTCTCCAAATGGAAAGCCGACACCGTACAAGGACGAAGAATTGGCAAAGTTATCGGCCAAACTATGGAAACGGAAAAAATGATCAACGAATACGAACGCCTAACAAGTGAATTAGTTAAATGGATTGAAATGAAAATCGAAACATTATCCGACAGACAATTTGCCAATTCATTGACCGGCGTGCAAAATGATTTGCAACAATTCAATACTTATCGTACGATCGAAAAACCACCTAAATTCGATGAAAAAGGCAATCTAGAGATACTGTTATTCACACTACAAAGTCAAATGCGTGCTAATAATCAAAAACCGTATACGCCACGTGAAGGCAAAATGATATCCGATATCAATAAGGCATGGGAGCTATTGGAAAAGGCTGAACATGAACGTGAACTTGCTTTGCGTGAAGAACTGATTCGACAAGAAAAATTAGAGCAATTAGCTGCTAGATTCGATCGTAAAGCCGGTATGCGTGAAACATGGTTGAACGAAAATCAACGTCTCGTTCTGCATGAAAACTTCGGCAATGATTTATCGGTTGTGGAAGCTGCAGCTAAAAAACATGAGGCTATCGAAACCGATATATCTGCCTACCAGGAACGTGTTCAAGCTGTCGTTCAGGTTGCAATGGAATTGGAATCGGAAAATTATTATGCCATCAATCGTATCAATACACGCAAAGATAATGTTCTACGTTTATGGACATATCTGCAGGAATTACTCAAAAATCGTCGTACACGTCTGGAAATGTGTTTGAATTTGCAGAAATCATTGCAAGAAGTCAATTATATCCAGGATTCTATCAACGAAATTAAAGGCCGCTTGCTCACCGATGATTACGGTAAACACTTGATGTCGGTCGAAGATTTGATACAGAAACATACTTTGATAGAAGCCGATATCAATGTGCTCAGTGAACGTGTTAATAGTGTTGCACAGAACCTTAAACAGATTCGCGATCAAGAAGGACCCGATGGATTCAAACCATGCGATCCACAATTGATCGATGATCGCTTGGGAGAATTAGAGGCAGCATTCACTGAACTATATCATCTGGCCGACACCAGACGACGTAAATTGGAAGAATCGAAAAAACTATGCCAATATTACTGGGATATGGCTGAAGAGGAGGCCTGGATCAAGGAAAAAGAACAGATTCTGTCGTCCAATGAAATCGGCCATGATGTCACTACCAATCAAATGTTGATCAGTAAAAATCGTGCGCTTGATGACGAGATTGCTGCCCATTATCAACAACTTCAAAATGCTGTCAATGCATGGTATGATTTTGCCAAAAGTGGTCATTATGGTGCCGACGATATCAAACAGCGCACGGATGAACTTCTAGCATCATGGGATAATCTCAAAGAATTGCAAGCTTTACGTAATATTGCCCTGCGTGATGGTAATGATTATCATCAATTCTTCACCGATGCCGATGATGTCGAAGCGTGGATGTTGGACTTTTCACGTTTGGTTTCGAGCAAAGATGTTGGCATCGATGAAGCCAGTGGCCAATCATTGTTGAAAAAGCATAACGATTGTTGTGAAGAATTGAAAAATTATTATGCCACCATCATGGCGTTGAAACAGCAAGCAGATAATTTGGGAGACAATTACCGTAATCGTCCCGAGATTAGAAATCGTATCGATAAAATAGACCAGATGTACAATGATTTGAATGATGCTGCCGAACGACGACGACAAATGTTGACCGATGCTATCGATATGTATCGATTGATGAGCGAATCGGACGGTGTTGAACAATGGATCGTCGAAAAGGAGAAAATGCTCGATTCTATGGTGCCCAGTCGTGATATGGAAGATATCGAAGTGATGAAGCATCGTTTCGATACTTTCGAACAAGAAATGAAAGCCAATGACCCGCGTATCGATTATGTTAATCGATTGGCCGACCAATTGTATCAGGCCGGACATCCCAATTCCCGGGATATTGTTGACCGCAATAATCGTTTGGCCAACAGGTTTGTTTATCTCTATAATTGATAATTTGTTCAAAATAATAATAATCATTTGTTTTGTTTAGGTGGAAACAACTTAAAAACAATGCAAACCGTAAAAAAGATGATATCGATGCATCACACGGGGTACAAACCTTCCATATTGAATGTCGAGAAACCATTTCGTGGATTGAGGAAAAAACCAAATTACTTCAATCGACCGAAGAACTTGGCAACGATTTGGCTGGCATCATGACATTACAACGACGATTGAGTGGAATGGAACGTGACCTGGCAGCTATATGTTCACAAATCGATAATCTTGAAAATGAAGCACAAAAGATTGAAGACCAACATCCAGAAGAAGCGGAAGAAATTCGCGAACGTATCACACAGATTTCGGCCGTATTCGAGCAGCTTAATCAATTGATCAAACAACGTGATGCTAAATTGGAAGAAGCCGGTGATCTACACCGTTTCCTACGCGATCTGGACCATTTCCAAACATGGCTCAAAAACACACAAACCGCTGTGGCATCCGAAGATACGCCCAATAATCTTATCGAAGCGGAAAAACTTCTCAATCAACATCAACAGATCAAAGAAGAAATCGATAATTATGCACCGGAATTCAAAAACATCATGGATTATGGCGATAAACTAACACAAGGACAAACTGATCACCAACACATGTTCCTACGCGAACGTCTCAAAGCATTACGGGATGGTTGGGACGAATTGCATAAAATGTGGGATAATCGACAGAAATTGTTGTCGGAAAGTTTGAATTCGCAGCTATTCCTACGAGATTCAAAACAGGTGGAAGTTTTATTGAATCAACAGGAACATTATCTGGGTAAAGATGAAACACCAGCAAACCTTGAGCAGGCAGAAGAAATGCTAAAACGACATGAAGCATTCATGAATACACTGGATGCTAATGAAGAACGTGTTCGTAATGTACTGTTGTTCGCTAAACGTTTGACCGATGAAAATCATTTTGATTCGGACAAAATTCAGAAGAAAGCTGATAATATTCAACAAAGATTCGTCAATAATCGGGACAAATCTAAACAATTGTGGCAAAAACTGCAGGATATGTATAAATTACAACAATTCCTGCAGAATTGTGATGAACTCAATGAATGGATTCAGGAAAAATATATTATTGCACAGGATGAAACTTATCGAAGTGCTAAAACTATCCACAGTAAATGGACTAGACATCAGGCGTTTGAAGCAGAAATCGCTGCCAATAAAGATCGACTATATCAGATACAGAAACAAGCACAGGATCTGTTGGGTGATAAGCCTGAAATGAAGAAGATGATCGACGATAAACTGAATGATTTGGATCAACAATTCGATACATTGGAAACAACTACCAACGATAAAGGACAAAAATTATTCGATGCGAAACGTCCAGTTCTCTATGAACAAACTTGTGATGATATTGACTCATGGCTGACCGATATCGAAAACCAAGTGCTAACCGCTGAAACTGGTCAAGATTTAACCAGTGTTAATCTCAGTCTGCAGAAACAACAAATGATTGAAAATCAATTGGCACTCAAAGCCAAACAAGTCAATGAATTGGAATCACAAGTTATGGCACTGAAAAAGATTGATCCAGCCAAAACCGATGAATTGAAAGCGAAAAAATCCTACGTGGAAGATAAATTTAACCGTCTGCAACAACCATTGCACGAACGTAAACAACAACTGTTGAAAAAGAAAGAAGCCTATCAATTCCGTCGTGATGTTGAGGATGAAAAAATGTGGATTCAGGAAAAATTGCCACTGGCACGCAGTACCGACTATGGCAATAGTCTATTCAGTGTGCAGATGTTGATCAAAAAGAATCAGTCATTACGCACCGAAATCGATAACCACGAACCAAGAATATTCAACATTATCGATAATGGTCGCAAATTGATCGGCGAAGGACATGAAGATTCGCCCGAATTCGCTCGGTTAATTGATGAGCTGAATAAACTGTGGGAGGAACTGAAAAATTCAATGGATGTTCGTAAGAATAAATTGTTGGAGTCGGAAAAAGCGCAGCAATTCTATTTCGATGCTAACGAAGCTGAGTCTTGGATGAGTGAACAAGAACTGTATATGATGGTGGAAGATCGTGGCAAAGATGAATTTACTACGCAAAACCTGATTAAAAAACATGAATCACTGGAAAATGCTGTCGATGATTATGCTGCCACCATCAAACAACTTGGTGAAACAGCAATGACATTGACGAAAGCCGGACACCCAGAAAGTGATCAAATCGCCATTCGACAATCGCAAGTTGAAAAATTATATGCCGGTCTCAAAGACCTAGCGCAAGAACGACGATCCAAACTTGAAGAATCACTGCGATTCTGTGGACTGAAACGAGAATTCGATGATCTTCTGCAATGGATCAACGAAAAAGAAGTGGTGGCCGGTTCACATGAATTGGGACAGGATTTCGACCAGGTTACTATGCTCCGGGAACGATTCAATCAATTTGCCAGAGAAACGGAAAATGTCGGCAACGAACGTATCGCCGAAGCAAATGAAAATGCCGATAATCTCATCAATTCGGGTCATGTCGATGGTGCTGTCATTGCCGAACTCAAAGATAATCTTAATGATTCCTATGCTGAGCTATTAGAACTGATGGAAACACGCAAACAAATGTTGCTCAGTTCGTGGGAGTTGCATAAATTCTTTCATGACTGTAAAGACATTCTGGGCAGAATTTCTGAAAAATCCAATTCAATGTCCGATGAATTGGGTCGTGATGCTGTTTCGGTGTCGAATCTATTACGAAAACATCAGAACTTTGAACATGATCTTCAAACACTCAAATCGGCTGTTCATCAGATAACGGATGAATCGAAAAAACTGCAAGTTCTGTACGCTGGGGATCGTGCTAATGAAATCATTTCACGCGAGCAAGAAGTGGTCAATGCTTGGAATCAAATGCTTACCGATTGTGATCTGAGACGACGTAAATTGGAAGATACCGGAGATTTATTCAAATTCTTCAATATGGTTCGCGATCTCATTCTTTGGATGGACGACATTGTCAGACAAATGAATTCGAGTGACAAACCACGCGATGTCTCCGGTGTGGAATTGTTGATGAACAACCATCAAAGTTTGAAATCGGAAATCGATGCACGCAATGATAATTTCACCAATTGCTTCAATTTGGGCAACGAATTGTTGAGCAGAAACCACTATGCATCGAAAGAAATAAGCGAAAAATTGACAACACTCCAGAACCAACGATCTGCATTGAAGAATCGTTGGGAAGAACGGTGGGATCATTTACAATTGATATTGGAGGTTTATCAATTCGCCAGAGATGCAGCTGTAGCGGAAGCATGGCTCATCGCTCAAGAACCTTATCTCTTAAGTCAAGAATTGGGCGTAAGTTTTTATCGTAAAATCGTTTTTCAAAATTGATAATCATTTTTGTTTTGATAAACATAGCACACGATCGATGAAGTGGAACAATTGATCAAGAAACATGAAGCATTCGAAAAATCGGCATCCGCACAAGAAGAGCGTTTTGTTGCTTTGGAACGATTGACAACGGTAATTATTTCTCATTTCCACATAGAACCTGTCTAATCTTTTCAAAAATCCGCTACATCAGTTTGAATTGCGAGAATATCAAAAACAAGAAGAAAAAGAACGTAAAATGAAAGATAAACCGATCGAAACATCAGCCACTGCCAAACAACAGCCAGTGGCAGAAATGACCGACACTGGCGCTGCTAAAAAGTATGTCTCTTCACCTCTAATCAATTTTCAAACTTTTTTCAAACATTTTTTTCCTGAATTCCCAATAGACCTGAATCACCCAAAGCTGCCCGTGAAGATGGCGGCCGTGATGAAAAATCAGAAGGTAGGTCCAGTTTGGTTTGCTTCACCATATTGTATTTTGCATGTGTTTGATTTACATATTTGCATTTCATATTCCCCGATTTGCATGGAAACCAAAAAACTCCCTTTTATTTGAATGAAGAACGTTTGCATGAATCCCGCATTGATGATAAAGATGTTGTTGAACAGGAGGAAAAAGTTGCACAACCTGGTAGTAAGTATTGGCAGTAATTTCAACCAAAAACCAACATAATGTCGTTTTAGTGCATGTTTTGAAAATTCTAACCACTTTTTTTCAATTTTTACCCCTGTAATTTTGATTATAAAGCACCAAAAATGAAAAAAGGTTCCAAAACTTCTTTTGGATCTTTGCGTCGTAAAATATCTAGTGCTTCCTCTAGTAAACAAAGTCATTCCGAAGATAATGGTACTAGTTATTCATTCATTTTAGTCTCAAGTTTTTCGCATGATGATTGTCATTATTAATGATTTTTTCACTCTTTCTCTCTATAGCTGATTCGGATGATATCATCATGGAAGGCGTTTTGAACCGTAAACATGAATGGGAAAGCACCACAAAACGAGCATCCAACAGGTAAGTTATCTATTAAATTAGAAAAAATCTAATTGATTTTCTCTGTGCAGATCTTGGGACAAAATCTATGTTGTGATGAAGAAAGGTCAACTTTTATTCTACAAGGATCAAAAACATTCGAAAAGTGAGCCGGAAAAATACTACAAAGGTGAACCAGCTATTCAATTGGACGATGTTCAGGTGGAAATAGCATCGAATTATACGAAAAAGAAATATGTTTTCCGTTTGAAATTATCGAATGGTGCTGAATATCTATTCCAGGCTAAAGACGATGGCGAAATGGAATGTTGGTTGAACACCATCAATTCGACCATTCGAAGTCAACAGGCTCCATCACCAGGGCCATCCCGATCACAAACCATGCCCGCTAAAGGTGCCGTCGATCCATCCAAAACGAAAGAAGCCGAATCGCGTAAATCCGGTGCCGGCGGTAGCGGTATTTTCACATTGAAGAAGAAATAATTTGCATCTCCTGCCTCCCTCACCATTTGCACATTCGAGCAACTACTATTTTTCTAATTAATCAGATCGAATTATTGATTGATGTTTTAGTCAACAACACACTTACTATAGACTTTTGTTCAATTTCGGTAGCTAATATTCTTTGTATCGACACTACTGGCAATGTTTTTTTGACGTTTTAAATGATTAATCCATTTAGATTCTTGATGTTTTTTTTCACCCAGATTTCACCCCAGACCCTCATCAACACTACAAAACATACATTTGTCGCGTATTTCGAAAAATATTAACACCACTGCCTCTATATGTAACTTTTTTTGAAAACACAATTCAAATAGTCTCAAAACAAGTTTTTATCGAATTCATTTCCATTCACACAGACATCACCCGCAAAAAGCCCCAAAACCGAGACTGATGACAGCATTTTTTTGGTCGTTGTTGTTTTTTCTGCTAAAAAATGCTATTTAATAATGACATTGAATGAATGAATGAAAAATATTAAATCCATCATTTTCTTTATAAATTTTTCTGTTTATAATACTTGTCTATGAGGTAAGATTCATTACTAATGTTACCGGAAAAAATTGGATTATTTGGATAATTTTGCATTTTTGCTGTTGTCACCATTGATGGCATTATTATCATCGATAACGTAGATATTGGCATCATGCATATCGTTTTCTTCATTCAGCTCGGCAATCAATGTGTCGAATTTCATTTTATCCTGATTCTGAAGGAAATAATTCTTAATCTGCACTTCACTTTTGGTCCCGATTATATCGGCGATAACTTTGAAATCTTTTCCATGATCCCGAATGGCCTGTGTCATCAAAAGTATTTCATCGTTGGTCCACCGAGAAATGATACGATTATTGTTATTCTGTCAAATTAAAAATAAATAAATTTTCAATAAAACACTCACTTCAACAATTCAATTGACACTTACATTCAGCAATGATAAATCGGGCAATTCCCCTAAGGCTGATTTTTTCGCCTCATTTTCCTGTTTTAGGTGACAGATTTTTTCCATCAACGTTTCGATCTCTTTATCATATGATTCAAGAACTTTGCATGATGATCCGGTCAACCGTTCTTTCACAATTTCCTTCAACATCATTTCGTCCATGTTCATCGAGTTGAACAGTTTTCCGAATTTGGAAATTTCATTATTCATCGAATTCGCATCATTCGATTTGCAATGGTTACTTTTGCGTTTAGTGTAGCATATCTTGCAGAGTAATCCATACTTGGTATTATAATATTGTTGGGCATTTTTGTTCATGCATTGACAACATTCTTTCCGATCAATCAATGCTTGTTGCGGCTGTTGTTGTTGATCTTTGGATGTTGATGCCATCATGGTCATATGATTGTTTGATGAATGTTCTTCACTGCCGCCATAATCCATTGTCGAACTATCGTCTGGACTTTCATCTTTGGATTGGGAATTACTTTTTCGCACCTGTTTATCCACATAGCTATTACGATTTTTGTTCTTTTTGGTGGTATAGTAATGTTTGATGATGCTGGATAACTTTTTATCCGGCAACAATTGATTAATCTTATGGAAACTTTTATTATGAAATTGATATGCCTGATCGAACAATGCACGATCTTCCATTGTCCATTCATCCGGATATGGTGCATAGTTGGGCAGATCGGCCAATGCACACTGCATATCGAAGTCATGCCAAAACAATATTCCAAGTGCCTGTTCCTCGTTGTATTTGTATTTGTCATTTGCCAATTTCACATAATCCGATACTGTCTCAAATCAAACATTATAACATTATTCTATTTCAACAAAACAAATCCTTACAGTCATCTTCATCCAGATTATGATAAGGCGTCCAAACCAATACAGCTTTCTCAGCATAATCTCTCGATGCTTCATACGAAAACAAATCAGATCTGATAATTTATTCAATCACGATTCTTACCTGGTTTCGATTGGAATGAATCGGAAATTTCAGCCTGATATTCATGACCAACCCGAACACTTTGTTCGGAATCCGAATCGCTATTGATATCGCTGGAACAACTGGTACCACCACCACTGGCACCACTGCTCATTGTATTCGAAACATTAGCCTGGTTCAATGTTCGTGTACGACGATTTGTGTTGGAGTTCGATCCACTATAGGATGATATCGATTCACTGTTATTACGTTCGGCAACAACCATTCTGTTTGAATCGCGATTTTGATATTTTTGTCAATTGTATCAAATCTTTGTTCAAACAATAAACAACTTCAAAACGACGATCCGCTTACTTCGACAAACAAATAGTCCGTCTATTTCGACCCAATCGATTCGATCAGAGTCGATCAAAATAGAAAAAATTTTTCTCAAATAAAAAACATTAATTTAGCAAAATTGTTTAATTAAAAAATTTTATTGAGACTAACAGAAAATCTATTGTTAATAACATTTATTCAAATAGAATCCAATCAATCATTTTTGCATTCCACCTTCAATACTCGTTCGGCCATAAAGATCTGTACGGCCCTTGAACGTATTATACCGTTCAAGACTCATCATATGATATTTCCATCCAAAATGACCAACAACAGCTATCACTATACCGACGGCCAAATGACGTTGCCATATTTTTGGGAAAATGCGTTGAGGTTGCTTATAGAATACAGGGCCGCCAGCCATAATTATAGTTCAAGAAGAGTTTTGTGCTTTTTTCCTCTTATATTCTTGGGTACGACTATAATCGCTATAGATGCAATAAAATAAAAATGGTGGCAGAGTCACTAGAAAACGATGCCGATATAATTGATGCAAAGATTTTTGTAGAATACTTTGCTTTACTTTTAAAGTTGATTCCATATGATCAACATCGAGATCGAACAGTGAAAAAAATGACCTAGCCTCCAACATTTTCCAATAAAGTTTCTCGTTTTAATGATTGAAAAAATTTCCGGAAAATTTTTTTTGAAAAAATTATTTTTTATTTGATTAAAGGTTGAAATTGAGATTTTTTTTACAAAACTGATTTTTTTAAATAAAATAAAAACTCAATCATTGTCACTGTCTTCATTCCAATCTTTAAGCTTAGCTCCGGTCATAAAATCATCGGCTAATACGGGCCATTTTTTCTTCGAACCTGGATTATTCTTCGCTTTCTGTATTTTGCAGATCAAAAATTGATTAATTCTTTTTTCAAAAAAAAAAAAAAAAAAAAAAAAAAAAAAAAAAAAAAAAAACAAAAAAAAA